GTGACTCACGCCTGAAATCCCAGCACTTTGGGAGGCCGAGGCGGGCGGATCACCTGAGGTCGGGAGTTTGAGACCAGCCTGACCAACATGGAGAAATCCCGCCTCTACTAAAAATACAAAAATTAGCCGGGCATGGTGGTGGCGCATGCCTGTAATCCCAGCTACTTGGGAGGCTGAGGCAGGAGAATCACTTGAACCCGGGAGGCGGAGGTTGCAGTGAGCCGAGATCGCGCCACTGCCCTCCAGCCTGGGCCACAGAGTGAGACTCTGTCTCAAAAAAATCACAGTTCCTTCGTGTGGATTTGCAGTGGGGCGGTTTCGACTCATCCTGGGCTCCCTGGGAGGGTTCCGTGTTCTAGGTGGAAAAGCCGCGGACATCGGGACCGTCCCCAGGGGCTGCACGTGGGCTGACAGGCTCCCTCCTTGCCAGCGTCACTGCTGCCTGGATTCCTTCTCCCTGCTTTCCTCCCCCGCCACACACAGGCAATGCTCCTTTCACCTCTTTTCCTGCAGCTCCAAGTACCCCCGTTTTCGGTTTGGCCCTCACACCCGGCAGAGGCCCGGTCGGGAAGACCCCAACGGGGAGACAGGGCCTGGGGAGGGGATCAGAAGTCGAGCCTGCATCCAACTCTGGGGAATGAGGGCAGGGACGCAGAGGTCAGGCCGGGGTGGGGACGGAAGGGCCCAGGCTGGCCTCAGGGTGTGAGCGCAACTGAACCTGCCAGGGCAGATCCCAGAGCCCTCGCCGGATGTGGGCAGCTCCTCAGGTCTGTGGGTAAAAAGGAGCGTGGACACGGCATGTTTACGGACATTAGAGTCTGCCTGGCTACACAAGCCCTGTACGGTGGCTTAGAGACGTGCAGCCAGGCCGGGCGCGGTGGCTCACGCCTGTCATCCCAGCACTTTGGGAGGCCGAGACGGGCGGATCACGAGGTCGAGAGATCGAGGCCATCCTGGCCAACACGGTGAAACCCCATCTCTACTAAAAATACAAAAATTAGCCGGGCGTGGTGGCAGGTGCCTGTAGTCCCAGTTACTCGGGAGGCTGAGGCAGGAGAATGGCGTGAACCCAGGAGGCGGAGCTTGCAGTGAGCCGAGATGGCTTCATTTCACTCCAGCCTGGGCCACAGAGCGAGACTCTGTCTCAAAAAAAGAGCTGTGCAGCCAGGGTCACGTGTACAACTGGGGGCCGGAGAGGACAGACAAGCCAGGCAGGACATCTGGCGCCCTCGGAAAGCAGCAAAGCTGTTGTTTCTCAGAAGTCCTAGAGGAGCCAGTTATAAGACGCTGGAGGCGGGCGCGGTGGCTCACGTCTGACATCCCAGCACTTTGAGAGGCCAAGGCAGGCGGATGAGGTCAGGAGTTCGAGACCAGCCTGGCCAACATGGTGAAACCCCGTCTCTACTAAAAAATACAAACATTGGCCGGGTGTGGTGGCAGGTGCCTGTAGTCCCAGCTACTCCGGAGGCTGAGGCAGGAGAGGTCTGAACCCCAGAGGCAGATGTTGTAGTGAGCCGAGATCACGTCACTGCACTCCAGCCTGGGCGGCAGACCGGGACTCTGTCTCAAAATAGAAAAACGGCCAGGTGTGGTGTCTCACGCCTGTAATCCCGGCACTTTGGGAGGCCGAGGTGGGCGGATCACAAGGTCAAGAGTTCGAGACCAGCCTGGCCAAGAGACCAACCTGGTCACTATGGTGAAGCCCCGTCTGTACTAAAAATACAAACATTAGCCGAGGGTGGTGGCAGGCACCTGTCATCCCAGCAACTCGGGAGGCTGAGGCAGGGGAATTGCTTGAACCCGGGAGGCGGAGGTTGCTGTGAGCTGAGATTGCGCCACTGCCCTCCAGCCTGGGCGACAGAACGAGACTCCAAAAAAAAAAAAAAAAACGTGGAAACGTCTGTCTAGTGGTGTTGGAGGAATGGGGCTGAATCCAGAGACGGGGACCAGTGAGTGGGGCAAAAAAAAAAAAAGCACTTTTATCATGAAGTAAACACACAGAAGTTCTGTTCTTTCCTTTTCCTGGCAGCTTCCGACTACATTGCACAGGCGTCTCCCACGCCCACCTCCCGTTAGGAACGTCCATTCCTGCGCCGCGTCCAGCAGCCACAGGCTGTGCAGGTGCCTGGCCCGGCCAGGGAGATTGAGGCAGCCCCCGGCAGGCCCTGAACCCCGGTCTCAAGTTTTCTCCACCACCTGCACTTCAGACACCAGACACTCCTCCAGGCCGGCTTTGCCCGCCTCCCAGACCACCTGCAGAGACAAGAGGAAGCAGGATGAGTCGGGCACCCCTAGATAACAGAGCCCAGGTCCTGATCCGCAGGGGCCTGTCCCATCTCAAATCGGCTCTGAGGGCCAGGTGCGGTGGCTCGCACCTGTAATTCCAGCACTTTGGGCCGGGCACGGTGGGTCACGCCTGTAACGCGCCTGTGATCCCAGCACTTTGGGCCAGGCACGGTGGGTCACACCTGTAATTCCAGCACTTTGGGCCGGGCACGGTGGCTCGCGCCTGTCATTCCAGCACTTTGGGCCGGGCGCGGTGGGTCACACCTGTGATCCCAGCACTTTGGGCCGGGCGCGGTGGCTCGCGCCTGTGATCCCAGCAGTTTGGGCCGGGCGCGGTGGCTCGCACCTGTAATCCCAGCACTTTGGGCCGGGCACGGTGGCTCGCGCCTGTCATCCCAGCACTTTGGGCCGGGCGCGGTGGGTCACGCCTGTCATCCCAGCTTTCGGGGGTCATGTATCCCACCTTGGCCGGCCGGTGGGTCACACCTGTCATCCCAGCACTTGGCGGGCGGTGGGTCCCCTGTCTCCCACTTTGGGCCGGGCGCGGTGGGTCGCGCCTGTAATCCCAGCACTTTGGGCCGGGCACAGTGGCTCACGCCTGTCATCCCAGCACTTTGGGCCGGGCGCGGTGGGTCGCGCCTGTGATCCCAGCACTTTGGGCCGGGTGCGGTGGCTCGCGCCTGTGATCCGAGCACTTTGGGCCGGATGCGGTGGCTCACACCTGTCATCCCAGCACTTTTCGGAGGCCGAGACGGACGGATCACGAGGTCAGGAGATCGAGACCACCCTGGCCAACACGGTGAAACCCCGTCTCTACTAAAAATACAAAAAAATCAGCTGGGTGTGTTGGTGCGCGCCTGTAGTCCCAGCTACTCGGGAGGCTGAGGCAGGAGAATCGCTCGAACCCTGAACCGGGAAGGTGGAGGTTGTGGTGAGCTGAGATCGCACCACTGCCCTCCAGCCTGGGCAAGAAGAGCAAACCTCCGTCTCAAAAAAAAAAAAAAAAAAGAAAAAAATCCGCCGTTCCCTGGTGTGTGGGGCGCCGAGACAGCCCGTGATCACGGTGGGCGGGGAGCCCGGTGTCCCCCCAACCCCCTTCATCCTGCAGGTTTTGGCAGACGGTGTCCAGCCGCCTAGTCCAGGGCGTCTCACTCTGGTCGCCCAGGCTGGAGTGCGGTGGCTCGATCGTCGTTCACTGCAGCCTCCGCCTCCCGGGTTCAAGAGATCCTCCTCCCTCAGCCTCCCAAGTAGCTGGGATTACAGGTGCACACAGCACCACGCCCGGCTGATTTTGTATTTTTAGTAGGGACGGAGTTTCTGCATGTTGGCCAGGCTGGTCTCGAGTTCCTGGCCTCAAACTGTCCGCCCGCCTGGGCCTCCCAAACCGGCCACCACGCCCGCCCAGACCCCTCCCGCGGCGGAAAACGTAACATACCAGCTTGTCCTGTTGGAAGGTGTCACCGATGGGGTCTTTCATGTGTGGGATGCGGGGAAACAGCCTCTGCATCACCAGATACCTCGGAGGAAAGAGAAATGGTCCAGCTCTGAACCCAGCACCCACCAGCTCATCATCCGGAACACGGCGTGTCCAGGACAGGCAGGGCCAGGATGGAGCAAAAGACTCCAGTCATCTACTCCAGGGGTCTCCCCCGAGGCCCTGACACGCCCCCGACAATCATCGTAGGCAGGCACTGGTGTCTAAGAGGGAGCAGGGTGCTGGGACCGGAGCCACCCGGGGTGCAGCTGCCAACACACCCTTGGTGCCTCAGGTCACGGATTTACGACTTGAGCCAGTAGCTTGCAGCTCCTCCTCCTCCCTGTCCCTTTCTACTCCTCCTCCTCCTTTTCCTCCTCTCCCCTTCCCTCCCTACTCCTCCCTCCCCCTCCCTCCCTACTCCTGTTCCTCTCCCCTCCCTCCCTACTCCTCTTCCTCTCCCCTCCCTCCCTACTCGTCCTCCTCTCTCCTCCCTCCCTACTCCTCTTCCTCTCCCCTCCCTCCTTACTTCTCCCCCTCCCTCCCTACTCCTCCTCCTCTCCCTCCCTACTCCTCCTCCTCCCTCCCTACTCCTCCTCCTCCCCCTCCCTCCCTACTCGTCCTCCTCTCCCCTCCCTCCCTACTTCTCCCCCTCCCTCCCTACTCCTCCTCCTCCCTCCTCCCTCCCTACTCCTCCTCCTCCTCCTCCCTCCCTACTCCTCCTCCTCCTTTTCCTCTCCCTCCCCCTCCGTCTCCCCCTCCCCTTCCTCCTCCCCTTCCCCTCTGGGAGACAGAAGTTACCACCGCACCCATTTGACAGTTTGTGAAGCTCTGATGCCTGGCAAGGAGACTGGGTCTGGCCGGGCACAGTGGCTCACGCCTGTCACCCCAGCACTTTGCGAGGCCGAGGCGGGCAGATCAACTGAGGTCAGGAGTTTGAGACCAGCCTGGTGCACCTGGCAAAACCCCATCGCTACTAAAACTGTAAAAATTAGCTGGGTGTGTTGCTGGGCGCCTGTAATCCCAGCTACTGGGGAGGCCGAGGCAGGAGGATCACTTGAACCCGGGAGACGGAGGCTGCACTGAGCCGAGATCGCGCCGTTGCACCCCAGCCTGGGCCACAAGAGCGAGACTCAGTCGCAAAAATGCTCGTAATGATGCTCAGGACGGTTCTGTGAATAACTTTCAGGGTCGCACTGGAAACAAGAGGGACCCCCGCGGATGCCCTGGAGGGCTCACCTTCTGCAGAGGAGGAACACACAGAGCAAGGCCAGCAGCGTCCCCAGCGCGATCAGCAGCGACGTCCGCCAGGCACGCGAGCTCGCGCCCTCCTCCTGGTCGCACTCTGGGGGGGAGGACGAGAGGGTCACGGACCGGGGCCTCGGTCTAGGGGGAGAGGGTCACGGACCGGGGCCTCGGTCTAGGGGGAGAGGGTCACGGACCGGGGCCTCGGTCTAGGGGGAGAGGGTCACGGACCGGGGCCTCGGTCTAGGGCGAGAGGACGAGAGGGTCACGGACCGGGGCCTCGGTCTAGGGGGATCAGGGACCATGGGCTCTCCCCACAGCCCTGGAAAGCAGACAGGTGGCTGCCACATGGGGAGGCGTCCAGGGGGGACACCCCCGTCCTGCCACCCGCACAGGAACCGTGACCACCTGCGGGCCACCTATGTCCCCGGACAAGAAGGGACGTCCGGGCCTCCCAGCCCCAGCCCGGAACCCGGAGCGACATCCGGACCTCCCAGGCCCAGCCCGGAACCCTGCGTTCCCGGACAAGGAGGGACATCCGGGCCTCCCAGCCCCAGCCCGGAACCCTGCGTCCCAGGACCCGGAGCGACATCCGGACCTCACAGCCCGGACCCTGTGTCTCGGGACCTGGAGCGACGTCCGGACCTCCCAGCCTGGAACCCTGCGTCCTGGGACCCGGAGCGACGTCCGGGCCTCCCGTCCCCAGCCTGGAACCCGGAGCGACATCCGGACCTCCCAGCCCCAGCCCGGAACTTTGCGTCCCAGGACAAGGAGGTACATCCGGGCCTCCCATCCCGGAACTCTGCGTCCTGGGACCCGGAACAACATCCGGACCTCCTAGACCGGAACTCTGCGTCCCAGGACAAGGAAGTACATCCGGGCCTCCCAGCCCCAACCTGGAGCCCGGAGCGACATCCGGACCTCCCATCCCGGAACCCTGCGTCCCGGGACAAGGAGGGACATCCGGGCCTCCCAGCCCCAGCCCGGAGCCCTGCGTCCCGGGAGAAGGAGGGACATCCGGGCCTTCCATCCTCAGCCTGGAACCCTAAGTCCAGGGACCCGGAGTGACATCCGGGCCTCCCAGCCCCAGCCCGGAACCCTCCGTCCCAGGACCCGGAGCGACATCCGGACCTCCCAGCCCGGAACCCTGTGTCTCGGGACCCAGAGCGACATCCGGGCCTCCCAGCCTGGAACCCTGCGTCCCGGAACCCGGAGCGACGTCGGAGCCTCCCAGCCCCAGCCCGGAACCCTCCGTCTCGGGACCCAGAGCGACATCCGGGCCTCCCAGCCTGGAACCCTGCGTCCCAGAACCCGGAGCGACATCCGGACCTCCCAGTCTGGAACCCGGAGCGACATCCGGGCCTCCCAGCCCCAGCCCGGAACCCTCCGTCTCGGGACCCAGAGCGACATCCGGGCCTCCCAGCCTGGAACCCTGCGTCCCAGAACCCGGAGCGACATCCGGACCTCCCAGTCTGGAACCCGGAGCGACATCCGGGCCTCCCAGCCCCAGCCCGGAACCCTGCGTCCCAGGACAAGGAGGTACATCCGGACCTCCCAGCCCCAGCCCGGAACCCTGCGTCCCAGGACAAGGAGGTACATCCGGGCCTCCCAGCCCCAGCCCGGAACTCTGCGTCCCGGGACCCGGTGCGACATCCGGGCCTCCCAGTCCGGAACCCTGCGTCCTGGACCCAGAGCGACATCCGGGCCTCCCAGCCCCATCCCGGAAGCCTAAGGGAGTTGGAAGACACGTGGATCCCCGTCTGCCTGGTGCTGGGGACACGGGGAGCGCCGGGGCGTCCACTGTGCCTCGCAGCCTGGCAGGTGCTTTGGGTGCGGTCAGCACGGGGGGGGGAAGCTGAGGCACCACCGGCGTGCGTGCTTGGAACTCGATTTTCTGGGTATCACGGAGTGTGTGTGTGTTGTGTATTTTGTGTGTATTAATTTTTTTTTTTGAGAAGGAGTCATGCTCTGTTGCGTGTGTGTGTGTGTTGTGTATTTTGTGTGTATTTTTTTTTTGAGAAGGAGTCATGCTCTGTTGCGTGTGTGTGTGTGCTGTGTATTTTGTGTGTATTAATTAATTTTTTTTTTTTTTTTTTTGTTTGAGGAGTCTGGCTCTGTGGCCAGGCTGCAGTGCAGTGCTGCAATCTGATCTCAGCTCACTGCAACCTCCCTCTCCCGGGTTCAAGCGATTCTCCTCCTGCCTCAGCCTCCCCAATAGCTAGGACTACAGGCACCTGCCACCACGCCCAGCTAATTTTTCCTTTTTTTTTTTTTTTTTTTTTTTTTTTTTTTTTTTGAGACGGAGTCTCGCTCTGCCGCCCAGGCTGGAGTGCAGTGGCCGGATCTCAGCTCACTGCAAGCTCCGCCTCCCGGGTCTACGCCATTCTCCTGCCTCAGCCTCCCGAGTAGCTGGGACTACAGGCGCCGCCACCTCGCCCGGCTAGTTTTTTGTATTTTTTAGTAGAGACGGGGTTTCACCGTGTTAGCCAGGATGGTCTCGATCTCCTGACCTCGTGATCCGCCCGTCTCGGCCTCCCAAAGTGCTGGGATTACAGGCTTGAGCCACCGCGCCCGGCTAATTTTTCTATTTCTAATAGAGACGGGGTTTCATCACCTTGGCCAGGCTGGTTTCGAACTCCTGACCTCAGGTGATCCACCCGCCTCGGCCTCCCAAAGTGCTGGGATGACAGGCCTGAGCCATGGTGCCTGGCCAGAAGCTTTTACTCTCAAGCAATTCTTTTCTGAATCCGGCTGCAGAGTGCATAGGCACAGCCACTCTGGATGGGAGAGAGCAACCCCTGGCCTGCAGACGGTTGTCTTATTTGATTTGATTTTTTTGAGACGGAGTCACGCTCTGTGGCCCAGGCTGGAGTGCGGTGGCGCCATCTCGGCTCCCTGCAAGCTCCGCCTCCCGGGTTCACGCCATTCTCCTGCCTCAGCCTCCTGAGTAGCTAGAACTACAGGCGTTCGCCACCAGGCCTGGCTAATTTTTGTATTTTTAGTAGAGATGGGGTTTCACCATGTTGGCCAGGATGGTCTTGAGCTCCTGACCTCGTGATCCGCCCGCCTCGGCCTCCCAAAGTGCTGGGATGACAGGCGTGAGCCACCGCGCCCGGCCAGTTCCTGTTCTTTAATCCACACACATTTGTGGCCAGTCTGTCTCTCTTTATGTCTCTTTCTCAGACAGAGTCTCCCTCTGTCAGCCTAGGCCGGAGGGCCACGGTGCAATCACAGCTCACTGCAGCCTCAACCTCCTGGACTCAAGCCATCCCTGTCGTCCCAGCTACTTGGGAGGTTGAGATGGAAGGATCCTCCTGAGCCCTGGAGGAGGTGAGCTGTGATTAGCCCCGGGACACAGCTAAGCTAAAGCCTCTCGGGGGAGAGCTGGGGCCTGGGAGATTCGGCCTCCGGCTGTGCTGTTTTCAGAATGGTTCATTGTTTGAATCATAGGAGAGGAGATCTGCTTTTAGATCGGCTCAGGAAGCAACGGCAGTTTTTTGTTGTTGTTGTTTTTTTAGGCTGAGTGTCACTCTGTCACCCAGGCTGGAGCGCAGTGGCACGATCTGGGCTCACCGCAACCTCTGCCTCCTCCCAGGTTCAAGCGATTCTCTGTAGTAGCTGTGGGATGACAGGCATAAGCCACAGCACCCGGCCTAATTTTTGTATTTTTAGTAGAGACGGGGTTTCACCATGTTGGCCAGGCTGGTCTCGAACTCCTGACCTCAGGGGATCCACCCGCCTCGGCCTCCCAAAGTGCTGGGATGACAGGCCTGAGCCATGGTGCCTGGCCAGCAGCTTTTACTCTCAAGCAATCCTTTTCTGAATCCGGCTGCAGAGTCCATAGCCACTCTGGATGGAAGAGAGCAACACCTGGCCTGCAGACATGTTTTTTTTTTTTTTGAGTCTCGCTCTGTGGCCCAGGCTGGAGTGCAGTGGTGCCATCTCCGGTCACTGCAAGCTCCGCCTCCCGGGTTCACGCCATTCTCCTGCCTCAGCCTCCCGAGTAGCTGGGACTACAGGCACCCGACACCACGCCCGGCTAATTTTTTGCATTTTTAGTAGAGACGGGGTTTCACCGTGTTGGCCTGGATGGTCTCGATCTCCTGACCTCGTGATCCGCCCGCCTCGGTGTTATTCCAAGGCCCAGGGGGTGTCTGTCAGTGGGATGACCTTGTTTCCCCTCCACGTCTCCTCTCGTGAATAAGATTAAGGTGTGAGGTCACCATCAGGTTCAGGCTCCTTTTGGAGGTCACAAACTGGGGGAGTGAATCTCGTCTCCTTTGCGGGCAGAACACCAAGAAACAATGAAGAACTGGTGACCCGTAGGCAGGCAGGCGGGGGGTGGCCTGTGTTTCCGTGACCCAGGATGGCACGCCTGGCTTCCACTCACCCGTGAGGGAGACAGGAGGGGCACGCCCCGCTCACCCCACTCTCCCCACTCACCGAAGCGCTGGGGGGTGCTCCAGGCACTCAAGAATTCATACACTGTTTCCCGGGCTCTTATTTGCACTGTGTACGTTCCAGGATTGGGTAGCTGGAAGGAGGTTGTGTCTCTGACCTGTGGTTTAAAAGAAAATAAAGAAGGAAAGAGGGGCCGGGTGTAGCGGCTCATGCCTCTCACCTCAGCACTTTGGGAGGCCGAGACAGGTGAATCACCTGAGGTCAGGAGTTCAAGACCAGCCTGGCCAACGTGGTGAAACCTTGTCTCTACTAAAAATACAAAAATTAGGGTGTGGTGGCAGGTGCCTGTAGGCCCAGCTACTCTGGAGGCTGAGGCAGGAGAATCACTTGAACCTGGGAGGTGGAGGTTCCAGTGAGGTGAGATCATGCCACTGCACTCCAGCCTGGGTAACAGACACTGTGTATCAAAATAAGAAAAGAAAGAAAGAGAGAAGGAAGGAAGGAAAGAAGGAGAGAAGAAAGAGAAAAGAAAGAGGAAGAAAGGAGGGAGGGAGGGAAGGAGAAAAAAGGAAAGGGAGGGAGGCAGGGAAAGAGAAAAGAAAAAAAAGGAAAAGAAAGAAGAAAAGAGGGGCTGGGCGCTATGGTTCATGCCTCTCACCACAGCACTTTTGGAGGCTGAGGTGGGAGAATTGTTTAAGCCCAGGAATTTGACACCAGCCTGGGCAACATAGCAAGACCCTATCTTTACTGAGAAAAAAAAAATGTAAAAATTACCAGACATGGTGACACACGCCTTTGGTCCCAGCTACTGGGGAGGCTGAGGTGGGAGGATACTGTGAGCCTAGGAGTTTGAGACCAGCCTGGACAACAAAACCCATCTCTACAAAAAAATTTTTTTGTTTTGTTTTGAGACGGAATTTCGCTTTTGTTGCCCAGGTTCAAGTGATTCTTCAGCCTCAACCTCCCGAGTAGCTGGAATCACAGGCGTGCACCACCACGACCGGCTAATTTTGTATTTTTAGTAGAGACGGTGTTTCTCCATGTTGATCAGGCTGGTCTGGAACTCCCGACCTCAGGTGATCCGCCCCCTGCCTCAGCCTCCCAAAGTGCTGGGATTACCGGCATGAACCACCACGCCCAGCCAAAAATATGCTATGCTATGCTATGCTATGCTGTTCTATGCTATGCTATTCTATGCTATTCTATTCTATTCTGTTCTATGCTATTCTATGCTATGCTATTCTATTCTATGCTGTTCTATTCTATGCTATGCTATTCTATGCTGTTCTATGCTATTCTATTTTATGCTATTTTATGCTATGCTATTCTAGCCTATGCTATTCTATGCTATGCTATTCTATGCTATGCTATTCTAGTCTATGCTGTTCTATGCTATGCTATTCTAGTCTATGCTATTCTATGCTATGCTATGCTATTCTATGCTATTCTATTCTATTGTATTCTATGCTGTTCTATGCTATGCTTTTCTATTCTATTCTATTCTATGCTATGCTATTCTATTCTATGTTATTCTATGCTGTGCTGTGCTGTGCTGTGCTGTGCTGTGCTGTGCTGTGCTGTGCTGTGCTGTGCTGTGCTGTGCTGTGCTGTGCTGTGCTGTGCTGTGCTGTGCTGTGCTGTGCTGTGCTGTGCTGTGCTGTGACAGAGCCTTGCTCTGTCGCCCAGGCTGCAGTGCAGTGGCGTGATCTCAGCTCACTGCAAGCTCTGCCTCCTGGGTTCACGCCATTCTCCTGCCTCAGTCTCCCAAGTACCTGGGACGACAGGCACCCGCCACCTCGCCCGGCTAGTTTTTTGTATTTTTTAGTAGAGACAGGGTTTCACTGTATTAGCCAGGATGGTCTCGATCTGACCTCGTGATCCACCCGCCTTGGCCTCCCAAAGTGCTGGGATTACCGGCGTGTGCCACCGCGCCGAGCCCCAAAGTTTTTTTAAATGAACTGACATGGTGGCAAACACCTGTAATTTCAGGTACTCAGGAGGCTGAGGCAGGAGGATCCCTCGAGCTCAGGAGGCAGAGGTTGCAGTGAGCCGTGATTGTGCCACTGACCTCCAGCCTGGGTGACACAGTGAGAGCCTGTCTCAAATTAAAAACCAAAAAAAAAAAAAAATAGAAGAAAAAACCATTCATATTTACAGCCTCAGCCCCCAGCACCTTTCAGTGGGGCCTTATGATGAAATAGCTGTTCATGGCAGATGTCATGAAGATGCAAATTGAGATGATGTCATTTTGGATTAGGGTGGGCCATAAATTCTATGACCGATGCCCTTATAAGAAGAGGAGACACGGCCAGGCGCAGTGGCTCACGCCTGTCATCCCAGCGCTTTAGGAGGCTGAGGTGGGCGGATCACTTCAGGTCAGGAGTTCGAGGTCAGCCTGAGCAACAAGGTGAAACCCTGTCTTTACTAAAAATACAAAAAATTAGCTGGGCGTGGTGGTGGGCACCTGTAGTTCCAGCTACTCGGGAGGCTGAGGCAGGAGAATGGCGGGAACCCGGGAGGCGGAGCTTGCAGTGAGCCGAGATCGCACCACTGCACTCCAGCCTG